TGAATCAAAATAATTATCTTTATTCAACGTGTAAGTATGTAAATGATTTATACACACAACGTTTATTATCAGATATGAATTATTTGAATCATAAAGTCTGTGACAAAACATTAACTAGTAACTTGCGATTAAAGTAAACTTCAATCACTCTAAGTGACCCATCTTCGTCAGCAATAAAGCATCGATACTGATTGACTCTACGATTATTCTTAAAATACATCTCAGGTAAAATTTACTTATCTTAGCGCCGAAACTCTGACATGTCTCCTGATTATTATTTATAAATAAAACTAGGATTTATTAAAAATTTTTTTTCAATTTTGTTTTTTCATATCTCTCAATTGTTATAACTCAATGTCAAGACAACAACAATAACTGATAAGATGCAAAGATCTTGCAAAAATATATAAGCTTGAAAATATATAAGGAGAACGCTTTTTGCCTTATCATTTAATTAACAGACCATAGCGAACTAAAAAATAGATCGAAATTAACGCTTTATTGTTAATTACCGAAAACAAAAATTATCTCGTGAACATAACTAATTGGAGTATGTTTACTTGTGCATTATGAGATGATAGCTTCTGTCATTTTTATACATTTTTTTGATGATAAAAGTATAAAGAAAAGAGAAGCCGCATGAAAAAAAAGAATTTATTCTAGGGTAACTATGTAAAATAAGCGCAATGTATAAAAACAGAAAGAAAAGAAAGATAAACAATCACATGATAGTATTAACATATGTATATAAAATCGTTTATTATTAATATTATAAATTAAAATATTCGCATATAATGGATTTTATTACCTGCCGCGATGGCATGAATGTACGGACAATCGTGCATGCTAAATAATTGCTAAATAATTGTTGGACATAAGAAGCTGGATATAGCGATCAGTCAGTACTTGTACATGAAAAAATTTTTGACATTCGAAAAATAATATTTCTTCACAATAAATTTAAATGAATAGTATAAATATATAAAATATATTAATATATATACGTATATATACATGTGTATATATATATTTTTTTTTTCTATAAAACTATGATAATAATCATAGAGTAAATGTACAATGATATATATTCTAACTAAATAATTATTTTAATTAAAACTTATTGTATAATTCTTCTTAGATACCGTCTTTAGATAATGTCACTTTTAAAATGATAAACATTCAATATTATATATACTAGGAAAATTTCATATCGTTATTATTATAATTTACGAGATTTCCTCGACATAGAAATTTCGTAATGCTTCTAAGGTTGAATCCAAAGTTTGAGAGTGCAAATCCTGAGGTCATGATATTTGAATGGCGCAAGAAATACCGCGATATAATATAAAAGAAATGATATTTCTATCTCATTGTGAAAGTGCACACGAATTATCGATAATACGAAAAATGATGTATTAAATATGCAGAAAGAAGAATTTCTTATAAATATAACGAATAATATGATGAATATTTTATTACATTTTTCAGAGTATACATAGTTCATCATTGTAATTTGTAAAATTAAATAAAACAATTAATAATTAGATTTTTTTTATTAAATTAGAATATATTATTTATTTTAATTTTTTATTGTTGGTGACAAAATCTTTGAGGATGAAAAAGAATAAATTATTTTACTTGATATAATTACATGTTACGGTATTTCTCCACGTCTCCTATGCAATACAGCACTAATTATAAATTTTTATGATTTAAGAAATGTGAAGATGACGAGAATAATCTATTAAATAACGATATCAATTGAACAAAAAAAAAACAAACGTAACTTTCCTACATTCGCTTTTAAATGTTTACCAACAATGATCGAGTTCAATATATATATGTGTAAGTGTAAACATTTTTTCACATATAAATAGATATGTTTATATAATCGCAGCATCATGCCAAACTGTTCTTCTCTATGATGCAGATATCTATGCGCAAATTGTAAGTGTAAGCTTGTTTGCAATCAGCGATGAAATGATTAATGTTGACATATTTATATAGCAACTATAAAAATTGATAAATCGACTCCACTCACGTTCGGTATGCTACAAGACGGACCTTGAACTTCTCGACACATTTTGATAAATAATCGTTGTCTTTTAGCAGAGACAAAATGATAATCACGATTGTATTTTAAATACAAACGTGTCAACCTCAGGAAAGAATCATGTACATTTCTGACTTTATTATTAATAAACTTTATATTAATAATTTAATAAACTTTATTATTAATAATTTATTTTATAAAATAATACATCTATATCTATTTAATTAATGTTTATTATTAAATATTTATTGCTTTAAATAATTATGTTAAAACAATTAATGTACAAAATTTCGTCTATTTTTTTGTTGTAAATGTAATTTTAAACTATTTTTTAAACCATTTCTTAGTTTGTTTTGAAAAAGTGCTTACGAGAACGTCTTTTAATATATTATTAAAAGTAATTTTTAAAGAAAAAGTTAAAATAATTATAAAAATTTTATTAAAAATAATTATGAAATTAATAATAACAACACATTTTATGATGGAAGTTTAATTTTCATGGAAATCGTTAATAATGTTATTAATATTATTAATTGTTAAAAAAGGTAAAAAAACAATGAAACGAGGTTATCACATTAACATTAACATGGCAAGACTTGTGCAAGAACCATCATCGCAATTTGCAATATAGTCAGTCCTTGTTTATTACACTTAAAAATAATCTTATAATTTGATAAGGAGATTCAAATAAAAAAATAGATTTAAAAATGTGATTCATAAAAAAATATGACTAAATTCTTTAAATTTTAAATCTTTATTTTGTTAATATAATTTTCTTAAAACAACTTAATATAAAAATATATAATGTTTTACATACCTATAAATTCTCTATTCAGTAATATCACTTTCCGATATTAATTATATAAATACTAAATATATAATGAAATAGTATGACAATCTAAAATTAATTATTTTAAGGTCAATCAATATTTTTATGTCGAGAAAAAATAATTGAAGTCGAGAACAGAAGATGCAGAAGGACGGAAACTAAAACGATAAGAAGCTATGTGTGAGAGAGAGAGACTTCTTGATATTCATTATATCATTAACGAAACGTTAATAACATTGTACTGAGTCAAGGAAAGGGAAATTATCGCGGTTATCACCGTTTGTTGCATCTACTCGGCAATAAATTCGCAGTCTATCTTCAACAAAGCGTCTGCACTTGAAGAAAAGAAGAATTCGTTAATTTATCATCGTTATATTAACTATGGTACATAGAAAAAATTCTATTACTGCGAATATAAGCATTAGTTCTAAGAAATATTTTCATATAATTTCGCTAAAAAGCCTCTGTGATTATCACGCATATAATAAATCAAGCTCAATACTGACGCGGAAATACTAGTAAGAAAGTGACTTGTGATCTTTAATAGATCTTTAACAGATTAATCTGGATGTATTTCATTTACCATTAAAAAATAAAATATTTTATAAACTGCGTTCTGTTATTCATTAAAAGTACGAAAATCTGTAGTATACGTAACGTAAACTATAGATTTTCAGTACTAACAGTGAATAGCGGAACATAGCCATAATAAAAGGTTACAAATATTCATAATATTATTATAATATTATGAATATTTATATAATATTATTATATAAAGTATACGCGATACACAACAATACGAATTTTTATAGTAATGTTTTGCAATTCATATTCAAGCTATCTCTTCAAAGAATTAATACTTTTCATTAATATTTTTCATATACAAGGCGAGGCCTAAAACAAAACACCGGAATTCTCACAAATTAAACACGATAGAGAAAAATGTTTCAGACAAAAGTTGTATAATTCAGAGAGGGACAAATAATGATAAAATCATTTTTTTTTAATCGATTTTTTAAGATCACATGAAGATTACTTCCACTTTTTTAAATGGATGGTATGATTTTTTTATACAATATGGTTTCTCTAATTATTCTGCATATAAAAGTATCAAGATAGTGATATCAAAAAACCAATAATTTACGAGATATTTTATACTTTATTGTGATACATATATTGACATAAAATATTAAATAAATCGTAAACTATTAATTTTTTGATAATCGTACCTTAATACTTTTATAAACAAAATAATGAGATGAATCAAAAAATTGGCGGGAAAAAAAACATATAGTTGCTTATTTAAAAAATTATCCATTTTGCATACATATTTTTTTAAAGCAACTATATTTTTTTTTTCCTTCAATTGACTCATTTTATTATTCATTATCTCGCATGCACGCACGCACGCACGCACGCACACGCGCAAAACCGTGCAAAAATACAAGACATTGCAATCATATGAAAATACAGCTCGTATTCATTATAGCAGACAGTTCTTATTAAAACAAATAGAGGACTCAATGACTCAACTTGTGCAGATCGCCGAAACAACGGCAATTCGCATCTACGAATCATAACAATTTCTTATCAATCTTATCAACGATATATGTAGATTCAGTGTAACTGAACGTAGTCTACGATAATCGTTCCTGTTTTCGGTGTCAAGGCGTTTCACCAGAAGGTTCGCTGCTATCAGGCCGACCTTCGTTATTACCGTGGAATGTTAATTCATTCGTGTCATGTATCGCCTCGAGAGAAACAACCTTACAGACCATCATCAACCCCTCGATAAGTCTCCCCAACGCAAAACGCAACTATAAAAATGGTGCACTCGCAAAATGCAACCACACGCAAGATGGAACAAATTGGATAATGAACACTCGTTATGCCTTCTCGTGAAATGTTGCGAGAACTTGTATGCAAGTTTCGCACGAAACTTTGTAAATTTAAAATACGCAATAATCAATCATATGCGCGTGAAGAGAATAATCTGCGTTTGCAGTCTTATTATTGGAAGAATCATTTTTATCAAATCTCAACAAATTTTTTATTATAGATAGAGAAGATTTTATTATCACATTAAAAATATGTTTAAAATGTAATATTTTTATTTACCATTGATTTGGTCTGTTCCGTAGATGTCTTCGACTCATCTTGGATTCCGTCTTGCGTCATGATCACTTTCCTTCGCAAAACCGATTCGAATATCGTCTATTGATCGAATCTTTCTCATCTAAAAAATTTGCATGTACCGCGGTGGAACTTAATAATTCCAGTGACTCCGTGCCGATCGATAATATCATCGATAATCGTAGAGTTCCAAGGACTATCCAGTATACTTGTGATCCATTAAACATCGAACAACATTATTTAGATCGATGCGATCGAGCGGTAAGATTTATTCTGAAAAATCAGATTTACTTCTGTGTCTTGATTTGCACGCGAGTTTACAATATCCACATATTGGACAAAAGTACATATCATAACGTTTCGCTGATGACGACCCCACATGAACAAAGCCAATGCACAATACAATACGATTCAGTAAGCCATATGCTCTCGCACATTTTTCGCCCGTGCGTTTAGTTTTAAGAGAGTTATCTTAAAACTGTCTGCTTCATGCGTTTGTTTTTCTTCGGACTTTCCGCGCCGGCAATCGATGCCGGTACCAATATCGATAGCAACACGGAATTTAAATCGAATGTATCGCTATCATAAAGCTCGAAAAAGCCATTCCTCAACGATACCGAGAAACCTTTCCGATGGTTTCTCGAAAACTGTTTCGTTGCGAAAATGTCACGAGTTTTTGCAGCACGAGTCATTCCGAATCGAGGATTCGGATATCGATGTTCGATTTGGAGAACGTTTACTGTACTTTACGAAGATTTTTATTTCTTTTTTTCTTCTTCCCCGCAGTGGATCTCTCTCGCGAGATCAGGCCCTCTTTTAAATTCAGAGCAACAAAGTTGCGAAGGTGCCGTGGAGGAGTTGAGAAGAAACGTATGCGTGAAAACAGACACAAGAAGAGGAGCCGGCACGACCGGCCGGCTCTTACGTACACTGACTTCTGACTGGTCGAGAGCTAGTAGGTGACTCTGGGAACCCCTACCATATCGCATAGCAACCGCTCGTAAGGCGACTGATAACCGTTCGTACTTCGTCAGGCATCGACAGATCTCGCCGAACAGACGTGTGATGTACTGTACATGTACGTACAAATACTCTATAAAAAAAAAAAAAAAGAAAAAAAACATGATTTAAACATGTAGAAACTTTGATCAATTTGACGGACTGATCGGAAATAATGTACAGACGCAATAGGAGAACTCTCTGGACTTTGTGCCTTATCGTTAGAAAATACAATCTAAAGTTTAGATCGACAAATAGAAAGTTTTTTTTGGTCTCGATGAACAATTTATATCCGTGTCACAGAAATAGAATATCAAAACATGTTCAGAAATTATCGAATAAAAAATTTAATACTTTTTTTTTTATTCGGAAATAACGGAAATGCAATATTTGATTGTGACGATATTTTTTTATTCCCATCATGCCCCAATCTTTTAATATTTGGATCCTCAAAAGAGTATATTTAAGACTTTAGAATGTGCGACTTTTTCTAATATTGTCCCCCAATCTCTTTTTGATCAAATGTTTTCCTTTTTTTAGATAACTTTGGAGAGATTCTAAAATATCTTTTGATAGTATTTAATTTGGAACAACTGAATGCATCATTTGATTGGTTGAGTTTTTGGAAAATTCATTAGCAAGGGTTATTCAAGGGTTAGTCACAACCTATAGTTGTGAATTTATATCATTATTGTACAATTAGATGCATTTTGGGAGATGCGAATGAATCGATTTAAAATACAATTTTTTATGGTAGAGAATTGGCGTATTCGATTTGCTGACACGAGCGATCGAGAAATGGCGCGTCCACTTTCGTTGCACGCACCCATGCTTGAAATCACGTACACACCCAAGAGATGGTAGTACACAGGTCGTAAATCGGAGCGATACAGCAAGGCGGCGCATGTCGCTAATAATAATTATTTTCGTATATACGTGTTGTGCACGCGGGAAACAAAACAAGATAAAATGTACATACGTTATGCATCCGGCGTGATAAAATGTTGCAAGAAAATGCTTGCGCTTGAATCTTTTGGTATCATTCGTGACAAAAGATAAATCGTAAATCAGTAATCGAGAGAGAGAGAGAGAGAGGAAAAGAAGCAAAGGAGAAGACGCGTAATATTATTAAATTATGTGGCAGTTTTACTTTCTATCGCAACTGACTTGACCTCCTCCTATTGATCTTATCGCCATTATTTTCTCGATTTCCACAACAAGTCAAAACGTCTGTGTACCAACTATGTCTATGTACCACTTCCGGATGTAACTGTATCCAACCCACGTCAACTTATATCGAATCTAAATATCTATTCTTCTTTTAAGCTCGATTTTTTTTAATAAATAAATAAATATATATATATATTCAATGATAAGTCATCAGTTATAATAAAATTAAATAAGAAAAATTTATTTTTTATTTACGTTTCTATGAAGAAAAACCGCGCCCTTCGAGCCAGCATTCGCGGACGTTTTTCAAGTTCTTCATCGAGCACGAGCATCTTTTTTACAACATGCAGATACGAATTCTCACTTGAAAATGAAATGCAATATATTATGCGCGAACCTCCCCTTTCCATTTCTCTCATCCTCTCTCTAATCCGGCGTCAAGTGCTACGTAATGATATAATCGTAGATTCGAGTATAATTCGAGACCGTGTTAATAACAAGCAAACGACATCGTTATTACCGCCGCGCCGCGCCGCGCCGCGCCGGAAGGATGAAAATACGGTCGGCCGATTGGCCATTGCACTCGACGATGCACCGCGAGACAGAATCGACCCTCCACCTTCTCTCTCCTCTGCTCGTTTTGCCTTTTTTTTCTTAGTGACTGTGTAACCACTCCCTGCCCGGTTCTGTCGGACGTTCGCCACAGTTCACCGTCTGCAAGAACGCACCGACCTACCGTGAATCGTCACGCACGATCGACGCAATCGGTACAACACATCGGTTATAGTTTGTTCTTCTTTCTTCACGACGGTTGAGCTCCCAGTGATTTATAAAATTGACACGAGGTAGTGAGAAACGTTTTTATGATACAATTAAATTTCTTCTTAAATAATTTATCCTTCTCAATCATATTAAGCAAAAGTATTTAGATATAGTAATAGAGGAAAGCCCCCTATTATGAGATAGTAGCGTTTCTGCTAAACTAATAAACGCTATCTGTTGGTTCCACCATGAGCTTATTGTTTTTGAATTGACAACTATTTAGTAAAAAATTCATTATTAGATGATGCCTGTAGTCATTGTAAAAAAAAAATTTTTTTAATTTGGATGTCTTCAAGTTTCATTGAGATGAGCCTTTAAATCTTGTTTATTATTTAATAAATAAAAATATTTGGCAATAAATTCTTCATGTAGTGATAGAGATTGTACTAATAGAAAAATACGGGATATGTTGAATTGTTTAATTATTTGAATTATTAGAAGTTAGATTTGATGATCGTAAAACTATAAAGCGTGGAAATCATAATATGAGATATCCAGGGTATTTCTAATATGAAATAACCCATGCTTTTATGTTATAGTGAAAATCGTTGATAAAGAGTAAATGTTATTACAATAATATAAAGGACAACCGGAATGAACGTCGAGTGCCTATTTCTGCAATGCTTAATTCCAACTACCTGAAAATGAGTTCTGAGTATAATCTATCGCATGCTAATTTTTCATACGCTGACTGTGTTTATTGGCATTTTAGAAACATGAAATAAAGTTTTTTAATTGCAATAATTGATATACTTTTACTATCGATTTCTCGGGGCATCTCATATTAGGAGCACAATTTTTTGACTTTGTGATTTTTTGCTCACTTTTTACATTTCTTTAATTCTCAAATAAATGATATTTGAATTAAATTTTATATAACGTTATCTTAAAGCTTATTAAATTCCCTTCAAAATGACCTATTATTTTTTTAAATTCTGCCCATAGATTTCTAGCATTTATCCAAAATGAACTCGGTATAATCATAATAGGGGCCTTTCCTCTATAAAAAAAAAAAGAGAGGATTGTGTGTTCTTTATTCTAATATAAGAATAGCGTTTATTCTAATAGCTTTATTCTAAGGAAAGCGTGCGATTTTTATTTCAACATTTATCCACACACAATGCAATTTAAAATTTATCAAATGATTTATCTCGTTTAACACAAGTGCTAATAATTTGACATTAGGAAACGTTATATAGAGAAATATTTGACTTACGTAAAAGTATTTGACTTCTTATAAAAAAAATTCTGCATATGTACAAGATGTCTCAGAACAATCAACTGCTAATATTAAAAAATAATACTGATAGTATAATTTATTTGAAAAAAATAAAATAAAAGTCTATTAGGTCATTTCAATAAACGAGCTCTGAAAGGTAAACAGTAAATGTTTATCATTCTCTTACTACAATTTCACGGTATAAATTAAAGAATAATAAAGATTTACTGTTTACACCTTTCAAAGCTCGTTTATTGAAATGACCTGGTAGAAGCTCCTTATTTTATTGTTTGAAATTTATACGAGCGAATTATCTAATATATTTTTTATTGTAATAATTTAAAAAAATTTTGAATGACAATAAATAATGAAAATTAGAAGATATTTTATTCTAATTTGTAATATATATATATATATGTATAGAAATAATAATTTTTTTAAAACAATAACACTAAATTCAAATTAAAGTAACTTTATAAAAAAATATTTTCTTTTTTTAACATACACTGTCGTTTTTTTTCTCTCTAATAGAATAAAAAATCAAAAAATCGTGGCAAAACTTCGTAAAATGGGCAATGAGTGGATTTGCGGAATGAGGAACGACCCCTTGAACGATAATCTTTTTCAGTATTGTGGCGAGAGAAAAGTGGTTTCTATGTCACTGACGAGGAAATACCAACAACGCAAGCGCGGTACGTTTAAGAAAAATCCATCCTGTACATTGGATCGAAGGTAAATTTTTGACTATGTCCCAACAATGCTCAATACGATTTATGATGGTGGGGGTTCAGATTAATCGTATCGAAGATATATCGAAGGTTACCAAGATGACCTTCACTAATGCAGTCGACTAAACCAAGAATACAGTAAGATTCGCATTTTATAATCTCTCTCTTCCCCTCTGCTTATTCTTATTGCAACAACGTTTCTGCTAGAATACAACAAAATTGAATAAAACTAACATTTAACATATAGCATTTAATTTTAAAATAAAAAGAAATCCAGACAATTTATTCAAATTCGCACATGCGAGGAATTTCATTAACTTTACAATAAAACCTTGGAAAGTAAGAAAGACAATATTTATTCTTCAGTCTTTCATTCAAGATCACGGCCAATATATTGTAATGGAAATGACCTTTATCGACTGGGAGATCTCATCGCGATTTACAGTCTGGCGAGCGTCTGCGCGCGATCGGCGGATCGTAATGTTCGATCACGGTCACAATTCGCGCCTATTCGAGCAACTAAAAAAGACGAATAACACACCATGAAATGTGAACAACACACGCAAGTAAAAAAGGAGACAAAGAAGAGGAAGATAAAAGGTCAAAGGCGAACCTACTTCAACGACTTGGAGATCAGAGACTAAACAAGTTCTTTTTTTACATGCCGAGTTTGGACGGAGAAGCATTCTTGTGACAATCTTAAACATTAGTTCACAGATTGTATCCGTCCAAAAGTATAACATTTTATCAGTCCAATTAGTTACATTTAAATATTTTCATTGCAAAGAAATCTAAATCTTTTCATTTAAGACTTTAATTCAAACATCAACGAAATCAAAGTTTATATTGCGAAATAAATTTTTTGCGACATTTCAACCAACCGATTTACAATTTCATTACAAATGGACTCTTTACCAGCTGATATTTCCGTTTGCGCGAGATGGAGCATCACAACTGCAAATCGCTTCAACCTACCCGTAAAGCAGTAACGCGTTTATTTTCATCCGATGACAGAAACTGAACTATGAAAGCAATTGCAATCTTCTAGAGATGTATATATATATATAGATCTCATAGTAGCATTGTCAAATATTTTTTCGCGCTACAAAGAAAAAAATGAGAGAGAGAGAGAGAGAGAGAGAGAGAGAGAGAGGAGAGAGAGAAGAAACTCATCTTACTGAGAATGAGTTTCGTATTGGTAAACGTATTGGCAAAAAATTCGTATTGGTTTGTCAGGCCGCCAGTTTACGATAACTTGTCTAATCGGTGAACTTTCTGTGCGTCGTTTATTTTTAATTTTAAAAAATACTCGCGCTTTTCCCTTTTAGCCTGACGCAATTTTTTTCAATCTTTATTGTAATGTTGTACAAAAATTATTTACGAATCGAAAAAGAAAATCCAATTTTTAATTCTTTCTGTGTAAAAATTAAATTAATTTCGTACATTTGTTTTCTTTAAAATGCCTATTTTATATTTACCCTGACATATAAAAGCGATTTAAATCTTTTAAATATTTTTTTCTGCCATCGTCATCCCACGTTACACATTATCACTGTCAAAATCGGAGCATTGGCATCGCAACGCGGCTACGTCAGATGAATAAAGGCGATATAACCAAACGAATCGTCGGTATAAGCATAAGAAGCAAACTGTCCACACTCACGCACGCACACACGCACGCACACACATACATACAAAGCTAATCATATCGTTATGTCGATCTACATAAACCTTATACGTTACATTCACCCCTGACCAAGGGGTAAATGGTTGTAAATAAAAAGAGAGACGAGGAAAGTATCAAGGGGTTTATTTATAAACTTTTATTAACTTTTTTAACTAAAGTTATCAGAATTATTTTAATGAAATTAAAAAATCTAAGAAAATTTAATTAAAATTTGGAAAATTGAAAAAATGTAATTTATCGAAAAAAAAAACTGAATTAACTAAAAAATTTAAGAAAATTTAAAAACAATTTTTTTTTAATTTAAATCGATATTTATTAAATGAAAAATAAATGAAAATTAAATACGTTTACTGGGAATGTTATAATAGTAGAATCTTCAACTCGGATTGCATCAGAAGATGAAGTATCATATGACATGCAGTGTTTAAATGTTATTCTTTTTTTAAATGTCAAAAATCATACACGCGCTGGACTCACCAATTCTCTGGAAGATGATCCTTCCTTCTTTAATTATCTTTTTTTTTTTTTTTTTTTTTTTTTTAAAATGAAGC